ATCAAGCATAGAAGAAACCAGGGAAAATTAAGAAACAAGCATAAATTGAATGCCACATCCAATGGATCACAGAAGAAATCAAGGAAAAAATTAATTTATGGAAGCAAATGACCGTGCCAGTACAACACGCTAGAACCTGTGGGACACAATGAAAGGAGTTTTCAAAGAGAGGATTATCGGGGCTGGGGTTTAGCTCAGAGGCACAGCGCCTGCCTGGCAAGTGCAAAGTCATGAGTTTGATTCCTGGTACCGGAAAAAAATAAAAATAAAAAATAAAATAAAAATTAAAAAAAACAAAGAGAGGATTATTGCAGTCAATATGAGCAAAACAGACTAAATGCAAATAAATAACGCAATGATGAGCCTCAAGAGACTTGAGAAACAGCAATCCAAGCCCAAATTAAAATTAAGGAAGAAAATAATAAAGATTGAAATGGAAATTAATAATAAAGATTGGAATGAAATTAAGACTTACAAAATACAGACTAGAGACACATATCAATGCAATTAAAAATGAAAAAGGTAAAATCAAGACAAGATACCATCAAATTCCAGAACATAGTAAATACTACAAAAAATTCTATTCCAACAAATTGAAAAATCTCAAAGAAGTGGATTCATAGACTCACATGAATTACCAAAGCTAAATCAAGAAGTCATAAAAAATTGAACAATCCCAATGAAACTGAGGCAGTAATAAAAACCTACCAAATAAAAAAAATCCCAGGGCCTGATAAACTGACTGCTGAATTCTACAAAATCTTTAAGGACATTATATCAGCGGTACTCCTCAAATTCTTCAGTGAAATTGAAAGGGGAGGAGTGCTCCCAAACTCATTTCTGGAAGCCAGCATCTCTCTGATCCCAAAGACTCAGCCAAAAAAAGAAAACTACTGGCCAATATCTTTAATGAACATAGATGCAAAAATTCTCAACAAGACTTTGTCAAACAGAATGCAGTGCATCACCAAAACAATCATATATCATGATCAAGCAGATTTCACTCAGGGAAGTAAGGATGGTTCAACACATGCAAATCAATAAATATAATAAACCAGATATAAGGAAAAAACCACATGATCATATCACAGATGCAAGAAAAGCTTTTGACAAAATCCAACACCCCTTCAGTGTAAAAACCCTGCATAACATAAGCATAGAAGGACCTTGCCTGAACCTTATAAAAGCTATTTATTACAAGCCAATGGCCAAGATCATATTAAATGGGGAAAAACTGAAAGCTTTCCCTCAAAAATCAGGAACAAGACAAGAATGCCCACCTTCACCACTTTTGTTCAATATACTCCTTGAAATGTTAACTAGAGAAATAAGGCAAAAGAAAGAAATATAGGAATACATAGGTGGAGGCGGCACAAGAGTGGAGTCTGAGTTACAGGGCAGGAGCTACGGCAAGACAGGCATTTTGGAAGTTTCTCTTGCTGTTTGACCAAGTATTGGTTGAAAGGAGCACAGTCAAAACTGTCACCAAAGGAGGCATTATGCTTCCAGAAAAATCTCAAGGCAAAGTACTGCAGGCAAGTATGGTAGCTCTGGGATTGGGCTTTAAGGAAAAGAGCAGAGAGATCCAACCAGTTAGTGTGAAAGTTGGAGATAAAGTTCTTTTTTTAATATTTTAAAAATAAAAGAGGAAAACATTAACAGACAGACAGCCTTTTACCAAAATAGCAAAAGAACAGTACACACAATACAGAGTTACAAACAAAGTAGTAGGAAATTAACAATGCTTGTTGTATTACATATTGATATCTTCAAAGTGTTTTCTCATGAAAACAGATAGAGACATGCAATATTGATCAATCAAGGACTCATTGGCAGTTTCTTTCAGCAAAGAAATAGAAGACAGTAGAGCAACTATGTTAACTATCCTGTATATACATACACACAAAATTTCTCCTTCTTTACCTTCTGTTTTCCCACATCCCAGTTGCCCTTTACCCTTGAGCATTTTCCTATCATTTCACAATGTCTATCATACCTCCGAGTTTAAATTAACTCTTTCAGGTTTTACACTAGTGAGACAATGTGGTGCTTGCACATGCAGGTCTGGTTTATTTCCCTTATAAGTATGGTATCTAGTTGTGACCATTTACCTATAAAAGCCTCGAGTTTATCGTTCTTTATAGCTGAGTAATATTTCACTACATAAAAGTACCACAATTTTCTTATCCAATCCTCGGTGGATGGACATTTGGGTTGCTTCCACATTTTAGCAATTACAAATTGTGCTGCTATGAACATAGGTACACATATATTGCTGTGATATGATGTTTTTCGATCTTCTGGGAAAATACCCAGAAGGGGGAATAGCTGGGTTGAATGGGATCTCTAGTCCTAGTTTTGTGAGGAATCCAAACTGATTTTCACACTGGTTTCACCAATCTGCATTCCCACCAGCAGTGGACAAGGGTTCCTATTTCTCCATAGCCTCACCAGCATTTGTTATTGGCTGATTTCTTAATGCTAGCCATTCTTACTGGGGTAAGGAGATAAAGTTCTTCTTCCAGAATATGGAGGCACCAAAGTAGATCTAGACAACAAGGATTATTTCTTATTTAGAGATGGTGACATTCTTGGAAAATACGTCAAGTGAAGTAAATCACTGTTGAAATAGCATCACACAACGCTTCCCATTCCACTCAAGTTCTTCAATCTTTCATCGTGTAAATAATTTCCATGCCTCTTTTATAATAAACTGATGACATCCATTATCTCTAAAGCTGTTTCACTGTACTGTTATAAACACTTCCAAATAAAATATGTAAATGAGTAGCTAAAAAAGAAAAGAAATACATATAAGAAATCAAATTATTATATTTGCAGATGACATGATACTCTACACAGAAGACCGCTTGCTCACATGGATGAGGGTGGGACTTCTTCCTGGTGTGGGGGAGGGGCACCACTTGCTCCCATGGGGGAGGAGTGCCACTCTTCTGGTGGGGGTCTGCTTGCCCCCTTATGAGAGGGCTCTACTCCTCCAGTGGGGGCCTCCTTGCTTGTATGAGGTGGGGCTAGGAATAGTCCATTTTCCACAGTATAATATTTCTCTCAAATTTTATCATGGGTATGCTCCATATTTACCCGTATCTCACAACATGTATACAATCCACACTCCTTTTTTTTTTAACGTTTTTTACATATTTTCCATTTATTTTTTATTAGTACATGTTCACATTCCTCGTGTGGAGCTAGTGCCTGTGCATAACACATCCTCTTTTTTTGGTATCAGGAATTGAACTCAGGACTTTGCTCTTGCCAGGCAGGTGCTTATGCCACTGATCTATATCCCCAGCCCGCATAACACTTCTTAATTCCTTTTTTCATCTCCTTTCCTTCTCCTGACTTCTCTCTTCCTCTAGCTCTTGATCTCCTTCCCCTTTGAGAAATGTTTCCCTCCCTGCGTCCTATTAACTCTCTTTTATTTTGTTCTTCATTTATAAGAGAAACTGTGTGATTTTAAGTTTGTGGGTCTGAATTATTTCACTTATTGTGGTTTTAAGGTACATCCATTTTCCTACAAATGGCTTTCTGTGTGGCAGAGCAGTAATCCATGTGGGTGAATACCACGTTTTCTTTATCTATTCATCTATTGATGGACATACAGGCTGTTTCCAAGGTTATGCTATTATGAATTGTGCTGCTATAAACATGGGTATGCACATATCACTGTAGTATGATGACTTTAACTCTTTAAGAAAGGTACCTAGAAGGGAAACAGCTGGATCAAATGGAATGTCTTGGTTTGGTGTTTTGCAGAATCTCCATACTGGTTTCCATAGTGGTTATGCTACTTTACATTCCCACCGTCAATTTAGTAGGGTTCTTCTTCCCCAAAACCTTATCTGTATATGTTATTATTTGATGTCTCAATGATGGCCATTCTTACACACACTCTTTTATTTTAAATACTACTTCTTCTGGCCACCTGCCTTTTCTGCTGTAAGCCCCAGTTTGTGTCCTTGCTAATTACCTTTGCCCATAGGATGACATTTCTGCCCCTCTTCTTGTCCTTTACTCCAGTTAGTTTTGATAGAAAATGTCTTCCCCTTATGTAATTTCCTTTCATTTCAATGTTTTGTCTTGAATGAGATGTCATTTATCTGAGCACCCTTTGCAAGATTTTTTATTTTAGTATCATACTGGGAAATTCCAAATCCCAGATCCTATTGGGCTTTATAAATCCACTTGTTCTTTAAAATGCATCAGATCCTGCATTGCTGAAGGAGCAATTCTGAAGCCCCAAGTTCAAGGAATTCTCTTTTTATTTTCCATATATCAAATAAAAAGTACACTGAGGGTAGTCTCTTCATTCTCTTCCTGCTCCTTCACCTCCAGCAGCCTTTCCACTTCTCTACAGGACTCCTCTCCCAGCTGCTCTGGTCATCCTTCATCAGGTAGGACACAGCATGAAAAAACTTCCGGCAGCTAAGGTGGCAAAAGCTGTAGAACTTCTTGATGTCAAGTCCCTCTTGGTAATCGTTGCTGCTCAGGAAAGCAGCAAGTCTACAGCCATCCAAATTGTGCCTCCTGAGGTCAGCTCCTTCAGATAGGACCCTCTGGTGCTAGATCCCCTCAGCTTCCAAGAAGCACAGGTCCCTGAAGAGCCTGTACCAAGTAAGCTCAAAGCAGCCTCCAATATCGTCAGTGGGCAGGACGGTGGAGATATAGTCAATGAAGTTGTTAGTGCTGTTGCTGGGTGTCTCAGAGAATTCCTGGCCTTATTCCATCTGCCCTTTTAGCCAGGAGCAGACCACCCAGCAAATGCCTGCTGTCTGACAGGCTGTGTAGAGAACACCATTTTTTTGTAGAGTCAAAGGCATTCCTGGCTTCTTCCTTACCCATAAAGTAGAAGCTGAAATACATTCTCCCCTCCTCTCTGCAGAAGCCTGACACATGGACATGGCACTGTTCACGCAGTATGGACGTCAGATTCCACAAAGCCTGGGGCCGGGTAGTGATAAGAAGGGAGCAGGTGAGAAGTGAACTTCTCCTAATTAAAAGCTGCGACACATTCTCCACGGGACTCAAGCACCGCTTTCTCAGCTCTCCTTAAAAAGGCCTCTGTAGCACATCAAAGCCATCCAGTATGAGCCGTAGTCTCTCTGGTTGCTTCAGAATCTCTGTAGCAGGGGCTTGACTGTCCCCACAACTTCAGAAGAGGAGCTGGTGCAGGTTGCACTCAAGCAGAAGTGTTGCTTCTCCACAGCTCACATAAAAAACACAGACAAGCCAGTCTGGGTATCAAAATGGTCCAGTCCAGCTCCATTTTTCTGACCAGGGTTGTCTTCTTGGTGCCAGCAGACCCTGCAGCACCATTAAGGGTGAGTTGATGAGGGATTTTCCATGGGATCAAATACTTCCTCCAGCACCAGAGAGTCCAGCTCCTGTTCCAGGTCAGAGTAGGTCGGTGATCCTGGCTCCCTGAGCTGGGCCTGGCCACAGGAGCCTCTGGTTGTAGCTGCTGTTGACTCCCTCGTCTTGCCTTTCCCCTAGGCAGCACACATGCTCCCGGCATATTTCTCTGTAACCCGAGCCAGATAAATGGGGTTTTAGATGGAAATAAAAAAGGGAAACAAAAATGAGACCATAAAACAAGCAGAAAGGGAAACACAAATGTGGAAACAACATAAAGGCAAAATGAACACATCAAATTCTGGCTCTGCACTTTAGTTTTATCTCCTCTCCCCTCTAACTTGTACTCTCTGAACATTATAGTTCCAGCTTCACAGGGAAGGACTATTACGTGTGTAAATGCATGTGTGTATGAGTGTGCATATGCACATCTATCCCGCCATGTTTTGTGGGTGCAGGACTCTGTGGGTGTAAGTGCATGCTGGTATCCATATGCGCTCATGGGAATGTGCTGACGGAAGCTTGTGCATTGTTGTGCAGGGAAGTATGTTGTCATGCATTAGCAAGAATGTACCTCCAATACGTATATGTGCAAAAGTCTCTGTATGTGACAACATGTGACTAAGTGTTCTGAAACATCCTCATGGGAAGAGGTGAGGATAGAAAGCGGAAAAGGAGGAGAAGCTGGAAGACGGTTAACTAACAAAAGCTTCTCGTTGCTAAAGGACAGGCCAGATAGTAAAGATAACTCAGCATCTGAGCAGGAGCCACGACACTGAGTCCACGTGAGCTCGCATTTCTGTACAGCAGAGGAGCTCTCAAGAGTAAAAGAACCCATGGAGAGCACAGGCACCAACAGATACCTCCCACTCCCGACAGCCATGAGAAGGAGCAGGTGGCCATTTATGCTCCACATCCACCTCACTGGCTCTTTCAGAGCTGGATCACAGAGGACCGTCCTGTGAGAAGCAGCCTAGCCTCCTTCCAGGAAGTAGCTAGAGACAGATCTGATCTCACAACATGATACCACCTCCTCTAGTTACTGAAAACCTCTTCTCTCATGCTGGCCACCATCTCTAAGCCCCTTCTTTTATGCTCTCCCTTTCTCTGGCACAGAAACTGGAGATGGGAGGCTGGGGGTTATGGCCACAGCTAGTCTTTCCATAAGTACTCATAAACCTCTGCCCTTGACTCAGAATCTCCACCCAGCATTTGTAGGACCCCCCACCTGGTGACCACCCAGGACCCTTTGGCATTTGGGGCTCCCAGGGAAAGAAAGCATAAATTACAAACTATGAGAGTCTGTGGAAATACACTGGATGGACGGACATGGATTCTGGTGCCATCCTGACCTCCCCCTCTCCACCACCACATTCACCACTCAGACAACTGGGCTGAGTTGGTCCATGAGTTCCAACAAGTTCAAGGCCTTTAACAGATCTAGAACCACTCTCACAGCTTCCTGAGCTCTATGTGTGAAGATCGGTCCTGATGCCAGGTCCACCCAACTCAGGCCCTCCAGCTCCCCTCAGGCCAGATGGCACTGGCCCACAGCCAGGGTCACATCCTTTAAGTAGAACTTTAGTAGTTTGAAATCACTCTCCTCAAGATCACACAAGGCCCAGAGCAATGCCTTTCTGGGACTGTGGGTCAGGGCTGAGGCCATGGTAGTGAGAGGTAAAGGTCCAGTTCAGACCAGTGACCTAAAGAAGGTGTGGAGAGGAGATGCTTGATACTGAGGGAAAAGCAGCCTGAAGACCCTTCATCCATCCCGCTTTCTCCACGGGACTCAAGCTACGCTTCTTCAGCTCTCCTTAAAAAGGCCTCTGTAGCACATCAAAGCCATCCAGTATGAACAGTAGTCTCTCTGGTTGCTTCAGAATCTCTGTAGCAGGGGCTTGACTGTCCCCACAACTGCTGTGTGGAGCAGAGGCCAGGAGAAAACAAGATTACAGGTGACACACACCTGTAATCCTAGCACTCAGGAGCCTGAGGCAGGAGGATTGCCCTAAGTTCAAGGCCAGCCTGGGCTACCTAGTGAATTCCAGGCCAGCCTGCACTACACAGCAAGACCCTGTCTCCAAAACACAAAAAAACAAAACAAAACAAAAAAACCACAATCTATGTAAAGTTCCAAGAAAAGTGAGCAGACACCAGGTAAGAGGGAAATTTGTCTAATCATTCATGTCTGTCTCTTTATCAGCTGATATGTAAAACTGTGTTGGCAAACAGGCAGGAAGATATGTGGCGCTCTCTCTCTCTCTCTCTCTCTCTCTCTCTCTC